TATAAACATGATTTAAAAGATTTTTTTTCTTTCTAAAATACTTTTCAAATACCATCGAATCTTCTGTTGACCAAAATGATGACTTTAAGTCAAAACAACCTACCAAAAATTTGATAGAGTAACGGTAAGAATACCAAATGACAATGAATGTCAAAGCAACGCTAAAAAAATGTATGCAAAGTCGAGCCAAGAATTGAACTCTTTGTTCTTAAATCGAATTTGTACCACAATGGTACCTACGGATGATGACAATCAACTCCCAAGATACAACGACAAACTTCTTGTGTTATTAGCACTTCAAAACACATGAACAACGAATCGAAAATTGAATTTTGTACTCCTTATTTTTCATTAAAGACAAGATACACAAAATTTTCGTAATTGGTGGCTGAGAAACTAGAGCATATGATTTTTTATAGCTATGATACCATATCGATATTGGAAATGATCATTACACAGGACAATGACAAAATTTTTAGATTTTTTATTCTTTAATTTCTTCGGGTTAGAAATATATATCACTTCGTTTAGACTCAAATATGCGAAATTAATCAATAAAAAGAAACATGTCACTTATTTATTGTTTCTAGATGATTAAGGTTAAACACAACACAAATCTTGCCAAAAAAGATCAACTACAAAAGCTAACTTACAATTGGTCGAAACACCGATAAATTTTAGCTGACTCTGATCACATCAAGTCTCACTTCTGCTCATTTAGTTAAGTTGTGCACATGCATGTCAAACTTCAAATAAATAAATAAATTATATTTCCACATGAAACTGGGTGTTACAAAATCTAAATAAATAATTTTGTCCATATCTATCAATTTATAATTTTGAAACAAGGTTGTTCAAGACTTAAATATGCATGGGAATGATCAATATGGATCAATATGACATGAACGGACTACTCAGCCAATTTTATTTCATAAGTTTTGTATATGCTATTTATTAACAAGTTGTGGAGCGTTGGAACACCGAGTGCCTCTTCTCCAACTTCAGAATTTTGAAGGCTTATGGGTGAAAGTAAGGGATTTTGGTATTTGATCCTTCGATTTTTTGTGTTTTGATCTTTGGTTGAAGCAAGAGAATAATAGAATCAGGTTGTTCTTCAATTGAATGTTCTCTTGACTGAAATTAATGCTCAACCAATAATACAAGATGTTTGGGATGAATTGTGATGGTTTGATCTTGGGGTTGAATCAAAAGACCTTTGGAATATGTTTATAATCTTCAAAGGAAACACTCTAATATGAAATAATGATTCAACACACTTTAAGACAGGTCTATGCTTGGGCATCTATAATAGGTAACTTTTGAGGTTGAATGGAATTGGAAAAACTGTGTAAAACACGATCAGGAGTCTATTCAGATAATATCGTTTCTTGAGCACTGACCTCGTGCCTAGCAAGCGGTAAGCCCGTCCCTTGAGTGCCGGGTTGCACATTAGTGAGCAATGGCCTCACTGAAAATAACGATCGAGCGCCTCTGTGCGATCGGCGAGCGATTTTGCGACGACTTTTTCTCTTTGGTACATCTTTAACTTCTTTGACTCCTTTAAAAACCTATACTACTAACCCACAACTATTTAGAGTTCAATTATAACTCAATAACACATGATTTTGAACATGGATATAGTCGATTTCAATTTGTACTTAACACTTAGTCCTATCAAACCCAACTTATGAAACAAAGGAATAAGGTATACCATTATCTAGATAGATTAAAGTTTACATAATTAATGTTCCTATTTTTAGCTAATTAAAATGGATTACTATAATGTGGTGATACCCATATCACCAGAGTCTTGCTAAATTCCTAAGCTAATTAGTATCGGAATACAATTCTTTGGAAGACTTTTCGTTGACAATTTGATTAGCGGAATATCATACTGTAGATGGACGGTAAAAAGATGCAACTTAGTGACCAAAGAGACTTCCGATGATTCAGATGCTTTTGATTTGAAATAAAGCATCTGAATCCATGCACTGTGGATTAAATTGCCCCACCCCACACCCGATATAAATTCAGAAATACCATATCCTCTCATTGCACTTGATACAGAAATAGAGAGAAGAAAGTAGCATTAGCCCTTGGATCGTTAAGTGGATCTTTAGTTCATGACCTCAATAGCTGGCCCGGAAGGCAGTAGCCAGCTTTCGCGAAAAACTCTTCCAGCCACAATTGAGGCAAGAGAGAACAAGATATCAATGAGGCCAACATATAATACCACAGCCATAGTCACAGCCAAAGCTGGTGTTAGAATCCAAATATGGAAGTCGCCGATCCTGTACCTATTTGGTGGTTTGGCTATCGTGTCAGGAATCATTGCCGTAGCATTGATAGTTCTGGCTTGCTCTCACAGAAAATCATCCCCAAGTGACGCTGAAGAAAAGCCTTTGCATGAACTGCAGCCTGAAATGGAGCCAAAAATCGTAGTCATCATGGCTGGAGAAAGCAACCCCACGTACCTGGCAAAACCTGCCGACTTCTAATCATACTAAAAAAACCCCCCTCTATTTTTATTTTTATTATTTTTTAAAATTCTGTGGAAGTATTAGCTTTATTATACCACGAATTAAAATCAATCAGTGTTCTGTAAATTGTCGCTCAAGCCTGTTAAACTAGTTTTACATGAGTATTTGCTTTCTTGTATGTAATTGATAGTATTCATTTATTGAACTAAGCTCATAATATTTAGCATGTGCTTACCTTATGTCTATAAACTGTTTATTTACGTTCCAATCACTTTTTATTAGCACGTTTCAAAAATCTACAAGTACTATTAAGCCATGTTGTTGGAAAAATAGCTCTATGAGGTTAATTTTGGCACAAT